CTGAAGATACGCCGGGCTTGCCAGCGGCTCTGTTTATTTATTTTCGGAGGAATATTTTTTCTTAATCGGCGGGCTGCGTGGCGGAAGTGAGCTGCCACACTGCGAGGAGCGCCTGTGGAGTCGGCGGTAGGCAGCGCGGCGCACGGCGGTGACTCAAGTTGCCTAGTCGCCAGGCTGTCTCTCTCGCACCCCCGCGGAAGGACTGTGAGAGCGAGAGCGAGAGAGGCCCAGAGGGAGACCTCTCGCTTGGAGTCAGTCTGGCTGGCAATGCGAGGGGTGTTATGTAAACTGCGGGGCACTTTGCACAGCTCCCGAGGGGCGCGCTGTGGCCGCGGGATAGACAGCAATCGGTTGTTTCGCGCTTTCTGGCGGGTGACTCGCCTTGTTCAACATCAATCGAAAACGTTGCAAAAAAAAAACCTTGAAATATTTTTGTTATTTTTGTGTGGAACAAGACGCGGAAAAATGGCGAAGCCCGTCAATTTTTACATTCTGCTTCATAAAAGGGCCGCCACACTAGTGGCAGCGCTGGCGGCGCTAGCGGCCACGCCGGCCGACAGAGGCGAAAAGAGTCAAAGAGGCAGCCAATGCCAGCAATCAAACAAACGCCGTGCCGTGCGGACCGAACAACGGGAGGCAGCACACCTCTCTGTGTGTGTGTGCGTGTGTGTGTCGGGCAGGCGGCACACACGCACACACGCGACACGTGTATTTGCCACAAAGGGGGTGACGAAATCATTTTGTACAGCCACAGCCGCAAAACTGCGCGGAAACCGTGCAGAAGCCGCTCGTTTGTATTGACCACTAGCGTTGCCGCCCACGCCACGCCCTGGTTCTGTTCGCACAGAAGGCCAGTTCGGGTGCGCTCGCGTTCAACTTTTGAAACGCGGTTTGGGCTGCGCCGCCGCCTCACATGGGAGGGTAATTCTTTCCCAAGTCACCCGAGGTCCCGAAATCGATGTCTCCGATTTCGACGAAACTTTGTGGGTGTGTTCCCTATGTAGCAAAGAGCTCCAGAAAAAATTTTCAACTTTTTTGGTCGGCCCAAAAAATTTTAATCACGTATTTTGTAAAAAACACTGAAACCTGCACTAAAAATTTGTTTGTTGCCTGAGGGCGACCTGCCCGGTGGATTTTTCTTCTTTTCATGGTACTGAAAAAAAAAGTCCCCGAGAGCCACTTTAAAAGTCACTTGTTCCAGGAGATATGGACCAAAAAATTCGTTTTTCGCAAATACCCAAAAAATGCATCCGAATTTTCTGATGATAATTTTTTTTTAGGAAGGTCCTGTGGTGGTCTATCACCCTTATTGGTTTTGGGTTTGGCCAATGGAAAACAGAATAAAAATCGCGTTTTTTCCGTTTTTTTCGCAGTTTTTGGCCCATAGTATCGCCATTTTAAGTCTGACTTAATGAGCGCCATTAGACTTTTTTTTCGCCTTTTCAAGACGAATCGATTGATATAAGTTGAAGTCAAATCGGAGTATTTTGAAAAATCGCCCTTTTTACGATCGGGATCCAACTAATCTGGATGCGTAAAAAATGCGATTTTTCAAAATACTCCGATTTGACTTTAACTTATATCAATCGATTCGTCTTGAAAAGGCGAAAAAAAAGTCTAATGGCGCTCATTAAGTCAGACTTAAAATGGCGATACTATGGGCCAAAAACTGCGAAAAAAACGGAAAAAACGCGATTTTTATTCTGTTTTCCATTGGCCAAACCCAAAACCAATAAGGGTGATAGACCACCACAGGACCTTCCTAAAAAAAATTATCATCAAAAAATTCGGATGCATTTTTTGGGTATTCGCGAAAAACGAATTTTTTGGTCCATATCTCCTGGAACAAGTGACTTTTAAAGTGGCTCTCGGGGACTTTTTTTTTCAGTACCATGAAAAGAAGAAAAATCCACCGGGCAGGTCGCCCTCAGGCAACAAACAAATTTTTAGTGCAGGTTTCAGTGTTTTTTACAAAATACGTGATTAAAATTTTTTGGGCCGACCAAAAAAGTTGAAAATTTTTTCTGGAGCTCTTTGCTACATAGGGAACACACCCACAAAGTTTCGTCGAAATCGGAGACATCGATTTCGGGACCTCGGGTGACTTGGGAAAGAATTACCCGGGAGTCGAATCGAACTCTCGGCGGCACTGAGGCGGACTGGCCTTCGACCGAGGCATCAACGGTTCGAGACTCTCGAAACGCCTGGTTCCTTACGTCCCGACGCGGGCTTCCTCGCCCGCCGAGCCTCGCCGCCCCCCGGAGTCCCGGAGTCATATTCCCCCGGGAGAGTAACGTTACGACGGCGGGAATTTCGCACCCCTTTTTAATTGCCGCACGTGAAGCGGCCGACCCCGAGCAAGGCCTTCCTGGGCTTCATGGGCAAGGCCGTGCTGCAGGCCGGCCAGGACTTACGGCTTCCTGAAACTGCGATAAGATCTACGCGGCGCATTAAGCGCTAATGTGAAGACACAGAGTGGTGCTGATGAATATCTCGCCCCGCCCGGCCCCGCCCCGCCCCGCCAGGTGCAGCACGTCGTCGCGACAGTCAGCGGGCCTCTCTCTCCGCCCTCTTCTTCTTCTTCTTCTTCTTCTTCTTTTCTTCTTCTTCTTCTTCTTCTTCTTCTTCTTCTTCTTCTTCTTCTTCTTCTTCTGGTTCAAATTTCGATAATTTCGATTTGAATTTCGATTTCGATTTCAATTTCAATTTCAATTTCAATTTCAAAACTCAAAATTCGAAATTTAAATTGAAAACTAAACTCAAATTCAAATTCATTCTAAAATGTGAAATTCCTTCTTTTGCCTTTTTCATTTTCCTCCTCCCTGCTGGTCGTGTATGCAGACTGCTGGGTGGTATATGTTCCATTGCGTTATCCCGCGCGCGACCGGATGCTTCCGGTTAGCCACAGCAGCCGCGTCCGGCCGCCCCTCCCCGCCGCCAGCGCTAATGCGAGCCCCTCCCCCCACCCCCTTCCGCCCCCCGCTTGAAATCCACTCAACTACCTCAACCGCCACTTCAACGTGACCGCGCCGACGTCCCTCCCGCCGCTTGTTTCTCGGGAACAAACTGCCTCGCCGGACCTTCTCTCTGACCCCTGTGGCCGTTGGGGAGGGAGAGGAGGGAAAAAAGGGAGGAGGGAGGTCAGTTTGACCTACGGTCTCGGGCGTCAGGTCGACATGACCTTGTGAGAATTCAACCTTAAAGCAATTGTTTCGAGCGTGTTTTAGTTTTTTTTTATTGAGGCAGGGGGTATCTGTCAGAGGAAACAAGCAATGTGTGCTAAAAGTATTTTCGTTGGATTTTTAGGTCGATCTGGATAACCTGGATACCCTGCAGGGGGTAAAAAATAATTGGGTTATCGGTTCGCGCATTTGTCCCTGGTGAACGTTCACCGGGATACCTTTCCGCCGATTCCGTTGAGAGGTCCCCAGACACTTCGCCTCGCGCAGTGGCTGGTCCGAAATTTGCATCGTACCGGACAACGCGTGAGTGGGTGCACACAGGGCGCGGGTACTCTTGTGGTGGGAGGGGGTCGGCGTATCCCATCCTATGTCGGGTCCAGCGCGCTGCAGCGGGGGTAACCAAAGATTGGCAAACTCCATTGTTTCATTGTTCCGTTTTCAAGTTTGACAATGCCGCTGGAGCGCTGTCACGTCAGTTTGAGTAAGGGGGTGGGGGGGAGGGGGGCCTTCCGGCTCAAGACAGAATGTCATTATCTGATAAGAGGCGGCACTAGATCATAGGCAGCGGACGCCGCAAAAAAATGAAGAAAAAGCGAATTGGGCGTGAATCATTTTTCGAAAACAAAAACAGCCAAAGGCGATTGATAAGTTTGTGCGAATGTGACAGCACACGCCAGTCCAACTGCACGCGCGCGCTCCCCTCTAGCCATCGCCCGCGGGGGAGGGGGAGAGAACATTGATGCCACAAACAGAATCCACCCAGATAAATTACACTCATGACGCCAGCGAGCAGGGCGGAGCAGCGCGGAGCGGCGCGGCGCGCATTGCACATTGCCGCGCGGTACGGCCAGGCCACTGAGAACCACCACACATCATCTCAACAACAACAACAACAACAGTATGAGAAATAACCTCCCTGTTGACGGAGACGGGTACGCACGCACCGCGACGGTCCGGGGTTTCCGGTCAGGCTTTATAGAAGGCCCCCGATTGCACTAGCGACTGACTTTCTCCAAGATAATGAACCAGGAAAATACACTCTTCAATCATCACCAATTTTTTTTCAGCAGTAACTCTCTTTTTTTCTTTTTTGCGCACCGCGTCGGCTCCGAAGATTTCTCATACTCATTGCGGCTGCCGGCCAGTCGAAAATTGAGGGGATTGCGGTGTCAAGGGCAGTGCACTAGAAGGGGCGCACGTTTCAAGCCGTCCGCGGGGAGAGAGAGTCCCAAGTAAAGGGGAACGATGGGTACTCGTGCATGGGGGCCGCCATTTCGTACCAGCTCGGACCGTCTCGGGGGAGAGGGGGAGAGAGAGAGAGAGAGAGAGAGAGAGAGAGAGAGAGCGGCGTGCTCTGACAAACGGCCTGGCACGGACATGAGGTACGGTGTGGTGGCACGGCGCGCAGGTACCTCCGCTACCCGCGGCTACCCGCGGCGACCCACCGGACCCGCAAAGGGCCTGGGGCCTTCACCGCCTTCCGACCTAATTCGCATGCATTCATTCATGTGTTCCGTCATTTCCATTGCATGGCGCGAGGCATGATAACGCCATGCGCGCCATAGATGCGATTTCGGCGGCGCGCTGCCCGCCGGAGCAGAACAGATATGAATATGTTATTTTCCGCGTTCATCAAAAGACAAACTCGTTAAAGTTGGAGCTGGTGGTGTAGTGCATGGTCGCTGCCACGCCACGGCCCGGCACCGACGACACTGAAACTGCGCAGTAAAGGCGAGCGGACCACCTTGTGTGTGTTGTGTGTGTTTACACATATCAAAGGTATCGCCGTATTTGCCCACCATCAGGACGAGTGTTTGCGACTCGCCGATATAATGGTCCCCCACCCCCTCCCTACTTTGCCGCAGTATTACACCATCTCCTAAATTTTTCGGCCCGCAATCATCGTTTTGCGTTATGGTAACGCAATCTCAACGTTCGATGCGAATGCGAGTGTGTATGGGCCCGCATGTGCGCAAGGTTACGCTGGTGTGTGTGTGTGTGTGTGTGTGTGTTGCTGCATGTTCGCGTATACAAGCAAGCTTGCAATTATTGTCTCAATTAATGGTCAGCGGTCCGCATCCGGCGGGGGGCGTGCCTCCCCGTCTTATATTCCCTCCAAATGTCGTTGTATGTCTGTGTCTGTGTGTGCTCGGGCGCGTGTGTGTGCATGTGTGTGTGTGTGTGCGTGTAAAAATATGAGTGCGTTTAGCCTCGCTGGAAGCGCATGTTGCGGCCAAAGCGTAGTAACGCCTCTTTCCAACTGGCCAGCGCCAAACGGCGACAGAAGAGAGAGAGAGAGAGAGAGAGAGAGAGAGAGAGAGCGGGGGAATTGAGAGAGAGAGAGAGAGAGTGACGGAGAGGATGAGAGGAGGCAGAGAGACGGAGAGACGGAGGAGAGAGAGAGAGAGAGAGAGAGAGACCGGGGGAATTGCCTCCAACTACGGCGACGCCAGCAGGCTGATTCCGGACCGAGCGTTCCACCTCTCTCGCACCCTCCGGGGCGCCCCGTGCGCCACTGCGAGGGACTGCGAGGGAGACGGAAGAAGTTGTTTGAGACTGACGGCGTCGGGCGATTCCAAAGCCAATCTTCGCCGGGCTGGGCCGCCCGGACTGATCTGATTATCGCACTTCATAAGACACAAACAAAGCAAAGCATCCTGAGGACGTCTCCTCCAGTCTTATCGCCGCTGCAGGGCCCGAGGACGTCGCAGGACGTTCCGAGGACTCCAGGACTCCGCTCCCGACACTCCGGGCCTCTCCGTCCGGCAGCGCGGCGCGCGCGGCCCGCGCCCGAACCGCCTCGTATTTTAAGCCCCGAGCTGTCTTCATATTCCACCTTTTCGCGTCCCTACCTCAGTTTCTCCCGCGTGTCTGCGCGCTCTCGCAAAACGGAACGCCCCGTCCCCCCCCCCCCCCCCTCGGCCGCCCCGCCCACCTTGCCATCCCTGGCACCTGCCTTGCACCGGATGTAAGGACCGTTCTACCTCATCCCGTCACCCGCGCGAATTCCTCGACACCTCTCTCTCTCTCTCTCTCTCTCTCTCTCTCTCTCTCTCTCTCTCTCTCTCTCTCTCTCTCTCTCTCTCTCGCTCCCTCTTTTCCCTTCGCGAGCTTCCTGCCCCCTCATCGCGCCGCTCCCAGCTTCATCTGCCACTCGGAATATTACTGCGCGCGCGACAACAACCAAACGCGCGTCCTCAGCAGCTACCAACACACAGGCAAACAGAAAAAATATGCCCGCATTTTTGTGTTGTGAAGGTGGCACTCTGTGTGTGTGGTGTGTGTGTGCGCGCGCGCTCTCCTCCTCTGCGTTTAGCCCGCTGAATGGGGCCTCCGTGGGCGAAGCCGGCGAGGGGCTCGCGTAGTCCTCCCCCCCCCCCCCCCCCCCCCTCCGCTCCGCCCCTCCCCCGGCAGTAGAAGGAAGAGGTATGGCGTCCCGAGCCACATTCACAATTGGCTCGCATTCTTCGTCGGGAGTCATGTGATGACATTACCACACAATGCGGGGACATTCATTCAAAGGCCCCGCGCGCTATTCGGGGGGAGGGGAAGGGGTAGCTGCGGGTGGCTGAAAGGGGTGGGGGGATCGCGCGCAGGTAAAGTGTGGGAAAGAGGCGGCAATTACGCCCCCCCCCCTCCACCCCAGCGCGTGAAGCCAAGCAGCGAAAATAGCAGAAACCGCGAGAGGTTTCAGAGCGGCGCGTCTATCTCGCGCCAAACGCCACCAAACGCCACGCCGCTCGCTTTGGTGGTCGGTCCGGTCCGCCTCGCGGCCTCGCGTCGCACTTTTGCCACTGACCCGTTTTCTGCGCGTTTCCCGCGAAGCCACAAGGCTAACGACGCTCGCGGCCCGGACCCCAAGACGGCGGCGGCGCTGCTCCGGGTACACACACACACACACACGCGCGCGCGCGCGCCCACACACTGGCAAAACAATGTTCACATTTAAATCACGACGTTAATTTATGGTCTTATGGCGGCGCGTGGATGCTGTTTCGCCCTGCCATGGGCCCCATGCAGCGGGGGTGCGGAGTGAGAGAGAGAGAGAGTGGGGGTGAGGAGAGCGTGTGAGAAAGAGAGAGAGAGACAGAGACAAGGGAATGTGGCGCGGGGCATTGTGGCCCGCTAGATATATGGTCGGAAATAAACATCGGCTATGACACAAACGGAGTTTTAATCTTTTTTATCGCTAAGTCGCCGAGCCGGCCAGGAGTCGAGTTTCATCCTGCCGCTTAAATTTCGTGAAAGCGCGTCGCGCGATACGTGAAAAGGCCCTTTATTTGTTGTTGTTGTCCCCCGGCGCCTTTTTGTTGCTATTGTTGGCCACGCGCGCGTCGCGCTGCCCGAGGGGCTCCAGTCATTTTCCGAAAGTTTTGCCCCGAGGTGTACAATGGTACAGTACCGCAAGAGGAGCTCTCGGCGGGTTCGAGGAAAAGGGCGAGAAGGGTCCTGGCCTAGAGCGACGAGGTCGTGGCCGCCGTGGGCCGTGGCCTCCGCGGCCGAGGGGCCGAGGCCCGTGCGTTACCTCCGCCCCGACGGCCACTGATCGGCAGACAAAAGGGCGGACAGTCGAAGCGACCCTGCCGGCCGGCAAGGCTGCCGAACCAGCCCGGGTGCCGAGGTTCGGCGAGGTCTAGTCTAGCAAGGTTCAGCAAGGCCTCGCAAGCTTCAGCCCGGCCAAAAGCAGCGGGCTTCTCATTGAAGGCGAGCCGCTTCTGAAAGAGCACGCACTCGGGGAGGACCGCGGCCCGCCAGGATGAAATATGCACTTGTCTCAGGAAGTAATGGCCGACCAGATAAGATATTGTTGTTTGTGGTTTGCATTGGGCTGCCTTATTGCTACAGTGGGACACACGCAAAAGGGGCGGGCGAAGAAGAGAGGAACAACTTTTTCGAACTGTTATTGCACCACGAGCAAATAAGGTGATTAAAAAAGGGCAGTGCGTTCGGAGGTCTTCAGGACTCGTGTGAAATCCGCGGGGCTGGAGCACTTCTCAGTCGGCAGTCTTTCTGAATGACGTCCCACCATCTCTCTCCCCGCCACCCGGTCAGCAAGAGCAGCGCTCAATATCCGGGCCGCTTATTGGCGGTGCGAAATCGGGGCTTCCCGGCCTGCCTGACGGGCCGTGTTTGCGGCTGATCGTAATTACAGTGGGGCGGCAGGGCGGCGGGGCCGCGAAACAAAAGGCAGCCCGTCTCTGGGGGGCTCATTACCGGCGGCAGATCTCCTCGCCGTCTTTCCCGCCCAGCGGCCCGGCCGGCCTGCCCGCGCTCCCAGCGGTCATATACATACGACCCGCGGCCCACCGGCCCTCGAGGACCGCACCTTTCTCAATTCAAACGGGTGGTTTCCAGCAGGAAGGGTTCTCACTTCGTTGTGAGAATTCACGCGCATTCAAAGGTTGTGGAGTTGTTTAATCCGGTAACTGAACCCGGCGGGGGAGGCGCCGCGGGGTTCGGTCGCTGGTCTTGCCGGGAGAGCACGCAGGCCAGGCCCGCGGGTCGCCCGGCCCGGCCAGTCCGTGCAGGCCGCCATTGGGAGGGAGGGGTGTTGTGAGACGAAACAATCAGCTGGCCGGACCTCCTGGCCGGGCGAGGCCCAGGCGGGGCCCGGGTGAGGGCTGGGAACCCGCTGCGGGTCCTCGCCGCCCCGCTGTGGAGCCCCGCTGGCCCTGCTGGTCCTGCTGGGCTGAGCCGGCGGTTGTGTGGGACACAGGATGAGTATTTTCAGGCAAAAAGCAACACGGCTTGTGCAGTGTACCCCCGTCATCCCTGTGGCCGCTGCAGGCCGACTGGAGGCCCCCCTGGGAGCTCGTTCTCGTGCTGGGGCAGCTCGGCAAGGCGCGGCGCGCAGCAAGGCGGGACAATTGGCCGGACCTCAATTTCCCCTCCACTGTTATGGCGGAACAAAATCAAGTCCGATGCCAGCGCGAAGCTCCGCGGAGCTCCGACGACCCGTTTTGGCGCCGAAACGGCGACGCGTATATTTAGCGATTTAGCGCGGGGCCTTCGGTAATAATCAGGTCTCTGGGAAATATGAAGTGCCCTTGGCGCCGTGTCGCGGGCAAATAGGGCGCGACACTCCCCCCCCCCCCTCTCTCTCTCTCTCGGCCCTGCGTTCGCGCCTTCGTCTCCCTGTCACAAAGACCCACGTTCTGGCTGCACCTGCAGCCGCCTGTCATCGGACGACAAGAGCGATCGCTGGCGCTGACCGCGACACGCCGCTGTCCGCCTGTCTGTCTGTCTGTCTGTCTGTCTGTCTGTCTGTCTGTCCGTCTGTCCGTCTGCCTGTCTGGCCCCCGTTAGCCGGCGGCCTGCCTGTTTTCTGTCAGCCAACATGGTGGTGAGGCTGCTGTCCATATATTGTAAAGTGACTGCCACAGGGACAGCCCCCCCCCCTCCACACACACACACACGTGCACGATAACAAAGTTGGGCAGTCCTTATCAAAAGGCAACCGGATTGGCGTTTGAATGCAGCGCTGCAGCGGGTCGTTAAAAAGGCCGCGCGAGACAAGGGAGCGCCAAAGCGTTACACGCCGCGGCGTCCCGCATTGCGGTAATTTAATCACGCCCAATTCATGCAAAAAGCGGCGCGGAATACCGCGGGGTATTTCGGACGTCAACACACCGGGGGTTGATGTGGGGGGTGAAAAAATGGCTGAAAGGGTGAGGGGGGCGCCACACTGCGGTGCGCCCCCTCCCCTTTCCAGCCTCAATCCAAGCCTCATTCAGACTCAATTTGAATGGTCAAGTGGGCAAGGCTAGCTAGGGTGTCCAGGGTGCCCGCCCCCAACCCTCCCTCCGTGCACCCCTGTGTGGTCAGCCGAGCGGTTCCGAGGAGTCGTTCTCTGTCTCCGTCGCGCCCCCGCGGCGCGCCCCGCGGAGTGACAGAGAGGACCGGTCCACTGTGAGATGGCGGTGCGTTGGGCGCCTTCAAAGGCCTGGCCGCCTGGCGGCTTGGCGGGGCCGTCGCCGAACGCGCACCGTGCGGGTTTTCTGGCTCTCCAAGCAAAGTATCCGAAAAACCTTTTCCCTCACGAGGCCGACCGGCCGAGAGAAAGAGACAGAGAAAGGGCACGGCCCCAAAGCCCGAGCCGCGGCGGCTCCAAGGGAGTATTGGTCACTTCCTGCGCCATCCTCCGCCCTCTCTGTTTTTCCACTACAAATTGTGGCCTGAGATAACATTTGCTCCAGCAGTTAGTGCAAGCGCTCTCTGGGCCGCGCTCCTGCCAAGGCCCTGCCGTGCACCGCAGAGTCTCCCCGTCTGTCTGTCTGACCGGCCGTCTGTTCGCCCCGCCGAGCGCGCAGCTCCCCACCAAGGCCATTGCCATGCCTCACTAATTGCGCCACACACAGCTTTTGTTTCAATTTGAAGCGCGTCGTTCCAGCGGCACTGCAGCGTCAGCCGTAAAGAACGCGTTTCGCTGGGCGCGTCATCTCGCAGCGCGGAGCCGAGCCTGGCCGTGCCGAGCCTGGCCGTGCCGAGCCTGGCCGTGCCGAGCCTGGCCGTGCCGAGCCTGGCCGTGCCGAGCCTGGCCGTGCCGAGCCTGGCCGTGCCGAGCCTGGCCGTGCCGAGCCGCGCCGCCTGGACTTCCCTCGCCGCGTCAGCTGCCATGCCACCCAGTAACACTGCACTGGAACTCCGTCACTGTTCTCGAATAACTATCAATTTCATTCACCTTAAATTGATTTGATGTTCCGAGTGAATACCCTTTGATCAGATTTTATTCGAGGTAAGTACTTCAAGTTCCAGAGCGTTTTTTTTTTTTAATTTTTTGATGAGTTTAAAATATTTTTTGGCACTGTGCGGCAGTGCGTTGGTCGGACTGACTGCTGACGCGCAACGGCTGGGGAGGCTTCGAATCATCCGCTGACTGCGTGGCTCGGCACACTCGCATGAAGGCCAAGTGCTTGATGCGCCGTGAAGTATAAAGTCTATATTCCTGCAAAAGTGCGGCCCGCCTGGCCCGCCCCGCTCCAGCCGGCTACGCGGCATCTTGTGAGTCTATCAGAGTTTGCCGAGGGAGGGGGGGGCCTCCATCATGTAGACCAGTGGCGCGAAAAATAGGGCGGATACGGACGTCAAATATCTCCAAATACGGCAGCGCTTTCGGCTCGCTCTGGGACGAGGACAGGCAGCCAGCGCCTGTGAACGGCGGGATAGGCCGCGCGCTGCGCTTGTGCGCATTGGGTTGCCTGCCCGGCACGGCGCTCTAGGCCTTGCCGAGGCTGGACAAGGAGTGGGGGAGGCGCGCCGAGGAGAACGAGCTGCATGCGCTCGCAGAGCAAGCGAGTGATTTCACTTTTTGAGATTCATTTTTGTCTGGGTCCCCTTCCCACCACGAAAAAAATGTTATTTTCTTGAAACAAAGAAAATCAAGAAACTTGGACGTTCTGTTTCTGGCTGCCACGGCCTGTGCACATTTTCCCATCGGTCTCGACAAGCTCCTCTATAAAATTAGTTAAAAAGTTTGCAGCGCCGCGCCGACCGAATAAAAAAGTCATAAAGAAACCCGGGAAGCGATTTTACGTGCCCGTCGGCGTGTGTGTGAGTGTGTGTTCGCGACAAAGCGGCAGGATTAAGGTCGGTCTCGAGGTAAATGTGAAAAAGAAACGAAAGATTGAGGACCGTCAAAGAGTTCCGATGGCCATGTGGAATACCTCTTAGCTGGTCTTCGAAGACCAGCCAAGGATCCTTGCCGGCTAACACTCACTTTCTGCTTGGCCCGGCGGTTTACATGGGGCGATGGAGATTAAGGGGAGACGAGCTGCTCGGCCTGCAACCTCGGTACACTGCCATTTGGCACCGCGGGGGCGGGGGATGGTGGTGGTGGGGTGGAAAGAAGGGGGAGCAAACAGTTGTGATATGACAGCGTATACTCTCTGGAGGCCGGCAGTCCTACCTGTCTCTCTTGCCGGCGGGGCCTGGCGGGGCCTGGCGGGGCCCTGGCGCCGCGTAGTGCCACGCAGGGCTCACCCCAACCCCAGGGCGGCGTTGCCAAGTCTGTGATAAGCAGTGCGTTATCGCTGAAGCCCCGCCCACCCCACCGCGCCCCCAACCCCCGAGGGACGATGGTATCCCAGCTTACCTTGATCGCCGTGTTGTGGGGTCCTTCATCACCATCACTTCTGTGATTTCTCCATATTTACTAAAATATTCGCGAAGACTTTCTGCAACAGAGAAACACACCAAACACCTGATTATTTCCTGGTCCTCGCTTTCCCACGGTGTACTCGCAGAACTTTGCGCGACTCAAGGCCGCCAGTAAACCGCGGGCTTATTGTTCACTGTCAATCTCGCGAGCTGAGGTGGGTCGGCCCTCATAACGCGGCCTGACATATGTCAGCGAAAAGAACCGCCGGCAGGGCGCCGACAAAACGGCGTATCGGCGCGTGGGGTTGCGGGATTATGCGGGTCGGGGAAGCAGTTACGGCCGTCTTCGCCGACGCCGCGGTGGCAACGCACAAACACGCGTTCGCCAAGATGAAAGTCGGGCGCGCCGCTCTGCCCCGCTCTGCCCCGCGATGCGCGAAGGCCCGCCGCGCACCCACTCCAGCGAGTCCGCCTCAGCGACCACGGGTAATACCAAGGGGTGAAAAAAAAACACGCCGGAGTATAAATAGAGACCCTCACTCGCACGCCGAAGGGGTCACGATGGCAACCCTGGTTCGGCTACTGAGATGTCATCATAACTAAAACTGCTCCCGGTTTATTTTTTCCTTTTTTTGAAAGGCTAGTTCTTAATCACTAGAAGCTCGGAACAGGCTAGAGACTTTGACAAATTCAGTAACCGATCCCAGGTCGTCAATTTTTACGCAGATCCTAAACACTGAACAGCAAAACTGGAGTGAAATACCAGTCGAGTCCTTTGCGAGTAGCGTCGAATCTTCGGCGACATCGCGCGGAGACTTATTTTTCGTCATATTCACACCGCAGGATAAAAACAAACAAAAATAAAATCCTGCGCAGGCTCCGCAGGCTTCGTCAAACCGTGTCGCAGGTCTCTGCGGGGGGCGCGGCCGTGCCGAGCCGGCGGCAAGGACGCAAGGACGAAGTGAGGCAAGGCGGCCTTTCGAGAGAAAAGGCGGGAGTAGCCTTGCGGGCCTTGCGGTCCTTGCGGGTCCTTGGTTCGAACGACCGTCGGGGAAAGAAGGAGCTTGCGAGCAACAGTTTCAAATTGAGCCACCCCGACCCGCCTCCAACTACCTGCTTTCACACGGGGCCCTGTACCGCCTGCTCCACACTCCGAATTTCTCGCAAAAAGACGCCGAGTGCTGCGGCATATTATCCAAGGGAAACAATAAGAAGAGAATGGATGACTGTTGGAAATATCAACAACAAAGAATTAAATCAAAATATTAATTTCAATGCCGTTTTGTAAATTTCAGAATAGGTACGCTGGCAGTCGTCAGCTGAAGACAAACGCTTTAAGCGTGATTCGGTTACGCGCTACAACGCGGAAAAACAAACGGAACTCGGCCAGGTAGGCGGCGGAATGCAATCTCATAAGCCGCACTAAGCTGGCTAAACAGTCATAACCCGCGTGACGACGAAATTGCATCGTAAGAAATTCAGAGTGCCGTCTCGTCCCGACATGTCAAGGCCGTGCTGGAATGCCGCGCCGAATCCGCCCCTCCAGCAGTGGCCTGGCGGCTCCAGCGGCTCCAGCGGCTCCAGCGGCCCCGGGCCCGGCAGAGGAAGGGACCCAAGCAAATGAAACGGAAAATGGAGATGTGCTCCCCCACCCCTGTCAGCCAGCCGTCCCGGGGCCACGGCGGGCCACGCCACGTGGTAACGGACGAAATGAGAAAGAAATGTGGAAGAAGTGGCCGGGCGCGCCGGGCGAAATGCACGCGCGGACGGAGCCGCTGCTCGTGGACCGGGACGGAGATCGTCACGCCGTATCGACGTCCTGTCCGCCCCGCTCCAATCTACAGGGCTTTCCTCGGGGCCAGAAAAGCGCCAAGGCGACGCAAACAAAATTCACAATTCAATTATTTTTTTCAGGAATAAAATGGCTAGGAACCTAATACAGTTTTTACATTCGATTCCCCGTCATTTTAAAAAGGCCACTCGTAGTTCTAGAAGAGGTCTCACAGTTCACGGGAAAGGGACGGAACTGAGTTCCTTGTGTAGGCGGTGCTTGTAGCGAGGCGGTACTGCAAGCCGCGGAATTAGACTCGACGGGAAGAAATAATGGCCGATGTGGCGATTAGGCTCACCTCAACACGGCCGCCAGCACCGCTTGCTCGCCCCGCCCGCCCCGCCCCCGGTTGCCCGGGGGGCCCCCCCGGCCTCCCAAACGGTTTTGTTTCGTTTTTCTCGGGGGGCCTAGAGCACGGACTCTGCCCCGGCCTCTGGGACAGGGGGCTTTCGTGAAGACTCCGTTAAAAACGGTGCTGGGGCACCAAGGTGCTTGGCTCTGCTGTCCCGGCCGCGCTCAGACCCAGTGGGGGGGGAGGGGGGCGGTGGGGCCGGGAAGTGACCCCGCGTGGCGCCCGGTCCAACCAAACCCTGGTGCGATAGGAACATGGGGGAACCTTTTGCTTGGCTCTCTGACAGGCCCGCTAACGAAGTTGGTGGGCATCATGGCACGCCAGCCCCGGGGCGCGGCGGTGAGGGCCAGGAACAGGGGACCGCCCCTTAGGTGGGGGCACAGGGAGGGGCTCAAATAAAGATAAAAAGGCGGAACCGTTGCGGGCCACTTGAGGGCAGCCCGCTTTAACGAATTGTGCTGGTCGGGGCGACACCATGGGCACCGGACAGCCTGCAAAGGGTCCGCCAGCCGGACAGGATTCACTGAATGGACCATACTCATTGGTAAAATAGAAAACAGAATGCTGTCTCAATGCGGTCAATGCGCGACGGCTCGCTCTCGAGTCGCTTCGGTGCTTCTGTATTTTTTTCTCAACTAACACACGCCCTTGCTGCGGGCTTGCCTGCCGGGTTCTTTGTTTCGTTTTTCGTTTCACTCTGAGAGCCCTCCTTCCTGTCCTCCTTTTCAATGCTTATTCCCGCGCCGGGATTTCGATAACCAGCACACCTTTCTCTTCTGCCGCGCTCTCAAACGCATCGGAAAGTCTTTTGTAATTACTGGGGAGTGTCGCGGGGTGGCGGCGGATGGATGGCCCGGCGCATTGTCTCTCTGCCTCTCTCTCTGTCTCCCTCTGTCTCTCTCTCTCTCTCCCCCTCTCCTTCACTGAAAACGGAGATGAAACTTTCATCATCTCTCTGTCAAGGCTAGCCGAGGGGAGGAGGCACGTGTACCCGGAAGGGGCTGGCGGGTGTGGGTACCGGGATCGGGGTGGCGGTGTGGGGGGCACGGGTACCGGGCCGCGGGAACTGGGCCGTGAGGGTTCCAAGAGGTCCGGTTGGAGCGTCGATGGGGGTCGGCGAGGCGGTCGGGACAAGGGTTGGCCGAAGAATAGGGACGCGGCGGTGAAATAAAAATAGCCATTCTAAAACCGTTTTAGTCTAATTGACTCTTGAACGGCGGTCAGGACGGAGAGGCCACGTGGTGGGGGAGGGGGGGGGGCGGCTGTCACCAGGGGTTACCGGAGGCTGGCAGGGGCGGAAGCTGGGGAAAGAAAAAGGCGGGGTGGGCCGAGGTGGGCAGCACGCAAAACGGTGAGAATTTAGTTTCGGGGGAAAGGTGTACATGACGCGTTGGGCCCGGGCTCATGCGTACGGCGGGATGGGACTAGGCCCATGGGATGGAAAGTTAGAGGGGGGCCGCGGGGGCGGAGGGGGGGGGGTAGGGGGAGGGGACCAAGGGAGCTTGCGGGTTCCGAGACAGCTGCAGGTGACACGCTGTCACGGCAACGCGACACTGCAGGGCTAGGAGGGACGCTGAGGGGGGTGGGGAGGAACGTGCACAAACCGATTCGAGAGGGTCGAACTGAGAGCAACGAGCAGACACGCGCGCAGACACACACACACACACACACACACACAGCGACACGACAGAGCGACGGCCAAAGTAGACAGGGGCGGTGTGCGGTGGACAGTTTCCGTTCCAAAACGACGCTCCAGAATATTGGCGGATGCGTTGTCACTGGCCTGCGGTGGCTGCCCGGCTCGGCGGGTCTGCGCCCTGCGCGGTGCGGCAAACACCCAAAGTGCCTGGACGTCGCAGCCAGCCACAAATAGAGGCTGACGAACTGAGCAGCGGATGAGAGAGACGTTGGTGTCCGCTCCAGTCTTTTCGGGATCGACTCTCTCAAGTCGCTGGAAGCGAAGAGCATATTTGGCGTGTGTGGGAATGCGCGCAGCGGGCGGGGAAAATGAACAGAGACAATTAAACTTGAAAAGGGGAGGGAAAAAAGATGGAACACAGAGAGAAGGGCCAAGTTGTTGAACAAACACTTGTGTACAGCGCGGACGGCGGCGTCCGGAAAAAGTTTACAATAAAACGGGAGACCCATTTCGGCGGGCGTCACCGCGCCTGCTGGCCGGCCGGCTGAAAAAAAAATTGAAATGCCACAAATTTGGATCCCGGCGGGCGGAGCCGTTATGAAAGCGGAGAACAACTTATTAGACTGGGTGGGAAACAATCAAGGAGGGAGGCTCTCCCCTAATCAGGACTTATGTTTGGACTTGCAAATGACGCGGCGAATCCCAAATACAATAATAGACCGCCGCCGTCGCCGCCGCCCCGCTTTTCCAGTGGCGAAGCCGGAAAGTAAGCACAAGTCGTCGTCCTGGTGATGTGTGTGTGTGTGTGTGTGTGTGTGTGTGTGTGTGTGTGTGTGTGTGTTTACCTATTCCCTCCGACGCAGAACAAAATGCATCCCCCACAAAGTTCCGGGTTTGGGAGGTTGGGGGGGGGGGGGGGGGGGCCCCGGCGAACGAACGGGTAGCTCCAGCCTAGCACCCTAGGGGCGGATGCTGAGTGAGAAGTGACCCAGTTGAGCAGCGGAGGAGGGGAGGGGGGTGGGGGAGGGGTGGCGGATGAAGGATCCTCCCCGCCAGCCCCGCGCCGCCCGGAGGGACCTTCCCCTCTGGCCTGGCAAGCCCCGGCCCCAGCCCCGGACCGGCCCGGCAAGGTCAGAGGCGAAACCAATGCCAATAAGTTGGAAAAGCGGGTGGCCCCGGCTCGGCTCCGCGCCGCCGCCCCCACCGCGGGGCCCGGCTGGGCTCGGCCGTGGATTGGGCGTGCTCGGCTCGGCCC